TTTTTTTTTTTTTTTTTTTTTTTTTTTTTGTCTTTTCTTAACGTGGAGGAATAACTTAATCATTTTTTGTCATTGTTTAGTCGGCTTTCCTCTTCGTTTCAGCACACACACACACACACACAAAAAAAAAAAAAGTAAATAAACTACATATGAGGGAATATTCTTTGTTGACATTGAATTTGCAGTGATCTCAAAATCATCAGTGGATATTAAATTGGTTTTTTAATTTTTTTTTTTTAAAATAGGTTGCTGTATAGGTGGGGGGATTTATTGAAGCAGGTGGATTGCTTTTTCTGTATATGGTTTTTACTGTTACGTCATAAATTTATTTTAATTTTACGAAACATTAAAATCTGGTAATGGGTTTTTCAGTTATTTAATTTGATAGCAGTAGTCAGCTGAAAAAGTAAAAAAAAAAAAAATTTTTTTTTTTCAAAGTTGTACTTTTTTTTAAAATTTTTTTTTGTATTTTTAGAAAAAGGAAACTTTGAGTGATTTATTTAGTTGCTTCAGTGATATTGAATTCACTACCTAATGTTTTTGAGTAGCATTAAAACCTTGCTTTTGCCTTTGTTTTTTGTATTGTTCAGCTGGCTTGCAGACATTTCTTTGGCAGCGGCATTTGGTTTATGAGAGTTTTCTGTATTTCAGGCATATTTTTTTTCTTTTTTTACTTGCCTCTCGTATTTATTTATTCGTGAATTTATTTTATTGTTGTTTTTGTTGTTGAAAGTAACGTTATGGTTTTCACTTTTACACCACTTTTTTATACCCTTGATTGAATTTACGAGACGAATATCAGAAGTATTGGATGATTATTTTTTCTTTTGAATTAGCTGTTCCTTTTTCTTTTCTGCATTTTTTAAGGCGCATTTATTGAGTCTGTTGCTAATGTTTTTTTTTTTTTTTTTGCCATAGTATCCTTCTCGACGTTAACTTATTTTCAGTCAATTTATTAACAAGAAGCACATGGAATTTATGGTCACTATTTTAAGCATTTTTTATAGTCACAACGTCCTTTAATTTCAATTTTGTTGCTCAGGAATTTTAGCGGAACAGTGAAACACAGAAATTATTGTTTTCATATTTTTTCCAGAATTTTTTTTTTGAGTTTTGTAGGCGATATATATGCAATGAACATTGTTTAATGCTTTATTATTAGCTATTTCATTGGCTATCATCAGTCAGTCAACTGCGCTGATGAGAAATTAGCGTAAAACTAAAGAGTTGTGATCAGTTTGCGATCACTGCTTAATAACTATCTAAATAGGTGACGTTAAATTTTGTTTATCTGATTGGCAGGATGAAATTTTTTTTTTGTAAAGAAGCAGTAGTTTGGAACTGATTTTGTTATTTATTGTTGAGTAAGGTTTAAAAAAAAAAAGAAGTGGAAAATAAATTGGTGCCCAAAAGATACGTCAGTTTTAGACATGGGGTTTTTAAAAAAGTATTTAAAAACGATTTAGTTAGTTTTTGGTGAGCCAACCGGCAGAGTAACGCCGTTTGGGAATGAAAAAATGGAGGTGAACAGAAAATAAATGCGGTCTTCCCTTCTTTTTTTTTTATGCCACCCACAGCGTATTTTTTATTTTCTTTAGCCACACATTTGCAGAGCCTCCTGTCCTTAAGATGGATATATAGCGCGCCTTTTCTTGCCGACAATTCATGGATGGTTTGTTGCCAAGTTTTGTTTTCATACCCCACAAATGTTGCACTTTTTCAACTTATTCTAAGCTTCCTTTCACAGCCCAGAGAAATTGTGTGCGTGTTTGCGTATGCGTATGCGCGTATATATTTGTGTCTGCTGCGTGTCAGCGGTGTCCGTGTGTTCGAATGTATGTTTGTGTTTTGATGGCGGCATCGGAAGGACGATAAATTCTGAAGTGGTCTGTTGCGCTTAGAATTGTGTATCGTATGAACTTAATTTGCACTTATCCCAAATTGCATTGTTCAAAAAGTTTTCAA